CTAAACTAGGACTTAAACCAGGTCTAAAGTAGGTCTAACGTAGGAACTAAAAAACTAGAACTAAACCAGGTCTAATTAATAATGTACGCATTTTTAAACCAGACCAAGACTAAACCAGGACTAAAGCAGGTCTAATGTAAGACTAAACTAGGACTAAACCAGGTCTAATTAAGAATGTATGCAGTTCTAAACCAGACCAAGACTAAACCAGGTCTATAGTAGGACTAACATAGGACTAAACTAGGACTAAACTAGGACTGAACCAGGTCTAAACTAGGACTAAAATAGGACTAAACCAGGTCTAAACTAGGACTAAACTAGGACTAAACCAGGTCTAGTTAAGAATGTATACAGTTCTAAACCAGACCAAGACTAAACCAGGTCCAAAGTAGGACTAACGTGGGACTAAACTAGGACTGGACCAGGTCTAAAGTAGATCTAATGTAGGACTAAACTAGGACTAAACCAGGTCTAAAGTAGGACTAACATAGGACTAATGAAGAATGTATGCAGTTCTAAATCAGACCAAGACTAAACCAGGTCTGAAGTAGGTCTAAAGTAGGATTAAATGAGGACTAAACCAGGTCTAATTAAGAATGTTTACAGTTCTAAACCAGGACTAAACCAGCCAAGACTAAACCAGGACTAAGTGAGCTCTAAAGCAGGTCTAAACAGAGACTTTTAGCTGACGAACTGCAGTATTGTCGCCACATTTTAAGAAACACTGACATATACTAGTAATTATTTTATTTTTATTTAATTATTTTTACTCCAGACGCCCTTCCCTCTCTCCTGGTTTGATTTCAATTAGAAATATCTTGAATCTTTTTGCAGAAAACTGGAAATATTTGAAATGAAAATGAGTGTATCTTTGTGAGTTTGCAGTGATTAAATGGCTTTTGTGCTGTTGTGATTTGTCCAAACGGTGGTAAAACAGAAGCTGAGTCTGCTGAGTCGGCAGAGGTGATGGACAGATTAAAATTCAATAACAGCCCGAGGATCCAAGTGGAATTAAGGACTAAACCCGGACTAAACCTGGACTAAACCCGGACTGCAGTGAATCGTTTTTATATATACAAGGGCCAGGAGCGAAAGTAGAATTCACAATAATTAATTTTCTAATGTTTTAACGGAGAATTATAAGAAAACCCAGCAACATGACATGAAAAACCAGGATTAGAAAGGGTCTAAACTAGGACTAAACCAGGACTAAACCAGAACTAAACCAGGACTAAATCAGAACTAAATCAGGACTAAACTTTGACTAAATCAGAACTAAACCAGGTATATGTCCAAATCAGGATTAAAAAGGTCTAAATCATGACTAAACCAGGACCAAACAGGACTAAACCAGGACTAAATTAGAACTAAACCAGGTATATGTCCAAACCCAGATTATAAAATGTCTAAATCAGGACTAAACCCGATCTAAACCAGGACTAAACCAGATCTAGCAAGGCCAAACCAAGTTAAAAGAGTATAATTCAGAAATATCCCAGGTCTAGATTGAATTTAACCTGGACTAAACCAGAACTAAAGCCAGTCTGACCAGGACAAATACAAATACAATTCTAAACCTGGTCTTTAGATCTAAATCAACATTAAACTAGGACCAAGCAGGACTAAACCAGGACTAAACTAGGACTAAATCAGAACTAAAGCAGGTGTATGTCCAAACCGGGATTAGAAAGGTCTAAATCAGGACTAAACCAGGAGCAAACCTGATTTAAACCAGGACTAAACCAGGTCTAGCAAGGTCAAACCAGCGTTAAAAGAGTATAATTCAAGAATATCCCAGAACTAAACTGGACCAAAGCTGGACTAAACCAGGACTAAAGCCAGTCTGACCAGGACAAATACAAATACAAGTCTAAACCTGGTCTTTAGATCTAAATCAAGACTAAACACTAAATATGACTAAACCAGGACTGAAGTAGGACTACACCAGGGCTAAACCGAGTCTAACCAGGACTAAATCAGAACTAAATCAGAACTAAACCATGTATATGTCCAAACCAGGATTAGAAAAGGTCTAAATAAGGACTAAACCAGGACTAAACCAGGTCTAGCAAGGTCAAACCAGTGTTTAAAGTGTATAATTCAAGAATATCCCAGAACTAAACTGGACTAAACCAGGACTAAACCCAATCTGACCAGGACAAATACAAGTCTAAACCTGGTCTTTATCCAGAAGAACTAAACCAGGACTAAACCAGGACTAAACTAGGACTAAATCAGAACTAAATCAGGTATATGTCCAAACCAGGATTAGAAAAGGTCTAAATCAGGACTAAACCAGGAACAAACCTGATCTAAACCAGGACTAAACCAGGTCTAGCAAGGTCAAACCAGTGTTAAAAGGATATAATTAAAAAATATCCCAGGTCTAGATTGGACCAAAGCTGGACTAAACCAGGACTAAACCCAGTCTAAACCCAGTCTAACCAGGACAAATACAAGTCTAAACCTGGTCTTTGTCCAGCAGATTTAATTCAGGACTAAACCAGGACTAAACCAGGACCAAACAGGCCTAAATCAGAACTAAACCAGATATATGAAAAAGGGTGTAAATCAGGACTAAACCAGGACTAAACCAGGATTTAACAGGACTAAACCATGTGTATGTCCAAACCAGGATTAGAAAAGGTCTAAATCAGGACTAAACCAGATCTAAACCAGGACTAAACCAGGACTAAACCAGGACTAAACCAGGACTAAACCAGGTCTAAACCAGGTCTAAACTAGATCAAAATCACAAAATCAGGACAGAATCGGGACTTTACCAGGACTAAATCAAGTCTAAATATGGACTAAACCAGGACTGAGCAGGACTAAGATCAAATCGGGACTAAACCAGTTCTGAATCAGGATTAAACAGGTCTGGACCAGGTCTAAACCGGATCTAGTCCAGGTCTGGGCTCTGACGGAGGAGGAGGAGGAGGAGGCTGCAGCAGTATGACTCGCAAAAGTGCTGCAGCGTCAGTCCCTCCCCCCGTCCTGCTCCACCCCTCCTCCCTCCATCCCTCTCTCCTCTCCTCTTCCTCTCATCCCCCTTTCATTCTCCATCTCTCCTCATCCCTCTCTTTCTCTCCACTTCCCCCTCCCTCATTTTTCTCTCTCTCTCCTTTTTCTATTCCACTCTCTCTCTCCTCTTCTCCCCTTCTTTCTCTCTCTCCTTTCACCTGCTCTGTTTATCCCTCTTTCCTTCCACCCCTCCTCTGTCTCATCTGTCCTTCCTCTCTCCCTCACTCTCCTCTTCGTCCTTTCTTTCTCTCTCTCTCTGCTTCAAAGCCTCTATCACTTTCTCTCTCTTTCTTCTTTCCCTTCTCTCTGTTCATCTTTCGTCATGCCTCTCTCCCCTCTTTTCTTCCCTCTCTTCTTTTTTCGCTTCCTCCTCTCTCTCTCTTTCTCGTTCTCTCTCATCTTTCTCGCCCCTCCTTCCTTGCTTCCTCATCTTCTGTCCATCCTTTCTCTCTTTCCTTCTTTCACTCTCTCCCCCTCCTCTTCTGTCTATCCTCTATCTCTCTCTCCCTCCCCTCTTTGGTCTCTTCTTTCTCTCTCTCTCCCTCTTTTTCTGTCCATCCTCTCTCTCTTTCCCTCTCTTATCTTCTCTTCTATGCCCTTCTCTCTCTTTTTTATCTCTCACTATCCCCCCTCTTCTGTCTATCCCCGTCCTTTCCCTCTCTTCTCTTCCCTTTTCTCTCTCTCCTTCAAGTTCTGTTTATATTCTCTCTTTCCCTGTCTTCTCTCTCTCTCCCTCTGTTTCAAACCCCCTCCTCTTCTCTCTCTCCTTCTCCTCCTCTTCTCTCTCTCCTCTCTCTTTCCACTTCTTCTCTCTGTCCTTTCTCTCTCCACCTCTTCTCTCGTCCTCTCTCCTCTTCTTCTCTCTATCCTCTCTCTCTCTCCTCTTCTCTCTCTTCTTCTCTCTCTCCTCTCTCTCTCCTTCCTCCTCTTCTCTCTCTCCTCTCTCCTTCCTCCTCTTCTCTCTCTCTTCTCTCTCTCTCCTCTTCTCTCTCCTCTTCTCTATCTCTCCTCCTCTCTATCCTCTTTCTCATCCTCCTCTTCTCTCTATCCTCCCTCCTCCTCTTCTCTCTATCCTCTCTCCTTCCTTCTCTTCTCTCCTCTATCTCTCTGCTTCTCTCTCTCCTCTCTCTATCCTCTTCTCTCTATCCTTTCTCCTTCCTCCTCTTCTTTCTATCCTCTCTCTCTCCTCTTCTCTCTATCCTCCCTCCCTCCTCCTCTTCTCTCTATCCTCTCTCCTTCCTCCTCTTCTCTTCTCTCCTCTGTCTCTCTCCTCTTCTCTCTCTCTCCTCCTCTTCTCTCTATCCTCTCTTTCCTCTTCTCTCTATCCTCTATTTCAACTCTTCTCTCTCCTTCCTCCTCTTCTCTCTGTCTTCTCTCTATCCTCTCGCCCTCCCTCCACTTCACCCCTCCTCTGCTTCTCTCCCTCTCTCTCCTCTTATCCTCCTCTTCTCCCTCCTCTCTCTCTCCTTTTCTCTCTCTCTCCTCTCTCTCTTTCCTCTTCTTCTCTCTCTCCTCTCTCCTTCCACCTCTTCTCTCTCTTCTCTCTCCTCTCTCCTTCCTTCCTCCTCTTCTGTCTATCCTCTCTCTCTCCCTCTGCTTCAAACCCCCTTCTCTCTCTCTCCCTCCTCTTCTCTGTATCCTCTCTCTCCTCCTCTTCTCTCTATCCTCTCTCTCTCCCTATGCTTCAAACCCCCTTCTCTCTTTCTCCCTCCTCTTCTCTCCCTCTCTCTCCTCTCCTCTTCTCTGTATCCTCTCTCTCCCTCCTCTTCCCTCTATCCTCTCTCTCCCTCCTCTTCTCTGTATCCTCTCTCTCCCTCCTCTTCCCTCTATCCTCTCTCCCTCCCTCTGCTTCATTTCATCCCCCCCTCCTCCTCTTCTCTTCTCTTCTCTCTCTCTCATCCCTCCCTCCTCCGTGCGCTCTGTATTTCCTCCTCTCCGTTCAGCGCATCACATCTGAGCTCGCAGCAGGACGCAGAACACCACAAGCAAAAAAACCAAAAAAAAACTCAAAAACTCAAATTGACAAACAAATTCTGAGTTTTTCAGATTTCAGATTTGACTTTTTTCTCGCTCTCCGACGATGGACGTGTTCATGAAGGGTTTTTCGATGGCCAAGGAGGGAGTGGTAGCTGCTGCGGAGAAGACCAAAGCAGGGATGGAGGAGGCTGCAGCTAAAACTAAAGAGGGAGTCATGTATGTAGGTAGGTCTGAAAACTCAAACCAGGTCTGGACCAGGACTAAAACCGGTCTAAAGTGGAACTAAACCACATCTGGACCAGGACGAATACAAGTCTGTGTGGGAAATAAGTCTAAACCAGGGATAAAATGGTTAAACTAGAGCTAAACCAGGACTAAAACAGGACTAAAGTGGAACCAAACCAGATCTAAACCAGGACTAATACAAGCCTGTGTGAAATAAGTCTAAACCAGGACTAAACCAGGATTAAACTAGAGCTAAATCAGGTCTAAATTAGGAGTAAAGCAGGTGTCAATCAGGTCTAAAGCAGGACTAAAGCAGGACTAGAAATGCAGTACTAATGCAGGACTAAATCAGGTCCAAAGCAGGACTAATGCAGGACTAAACCAGAACTAAGGCAGGACTAAAGCAGGACTAAAGTAGGACTAGAGCAGGACTACAGTAGGACTAGAGCAGGACTAATGCAGGACTGATGCAGTACTAATGCAGGACTAAATCAAGTCTAAAGCAGGACTAAAGCAGGACTAAACCGGAACTAAGGCAGGACTAAAGCAGGACTAAATCGGGACTAAATCGGGTCTAAAGCAGGACTAATGCAGGACTAAACCAGAACTAATGCAGGACTAAATCAGGTCTAAAGCAGGACTAAAGCAGGACTAATGCAGGACTAAACCAGAACTAAGGCAGGACTAAAGCAGGACTAATGCAGGACTAAATCGAGGACTAAATCGGGACCAAAGCAGGACTAAAGCAGGACTAAATAGGGTCTAAAGCAGGACTAAATCAAGTCTAAAACAAGACTAAAGCAGGACAAAAGTAGGATTAAACCAGGTCTAAAGCAGGACTAAAACAGGACTAAACCAGGTCTAAAGCAGGACTAAATAGGGTCTAAAGCAGGACTAAACCAGTTAGGTCTAAACTCAATCTAAACTGGGTCTACTCCTGATCTACCAAAGACTGAACCAGGTCTAAACGAGATATAAACCAGGACTAAATCCGGTCTAAACCCGATCTATGTCAGGACTACCCCGCTCTAAACAAGGACTACCCAGGTCTAAACCTGATCTAAACCAGCACTAAACTAGATCTAAATCAGGCCCAAACCAGCTCTAAAAGTGGTCTAAACCTGATCTAAACCAAGTCCAAACCAGGAATAAACCAGGACTAAACCAGGTCCAAACCAGGGCTAATTTTGTAGGTAGGTCTCAAAACTCAAAATTGCCAAAATTTGTAATTGTAATAAGAAAATAAATCTCATATAAATCATTAAAAACATTAATATTTGTTTGTTTAATTTTCCTGTAGTCGTCACAGACACAGTGAAGTAAGTTTATGTAAATCGTGACGGGACAATTCACATCATGCAGTTTGGTGCAGCCCTTTTCTTGTCTTATATCTGTACAAATAATCATCTAAAATGGATAATCGCTTTGATAATTTTAAAGTAGTTGTACACAAAGACAATTAAAAGACTTACGTCATATAGAAATAAGAGGAAGTTCAGTTATATTTGGGTGTATTAGTTTGTAACAGTTTATGGAGGATGATGATGCAAAATTTGAGATAAACATTCGGAAGTTTAGGAATAATTTCTAATATTTTACCATTTGTAACTTGAGAAAAAATGAAAATCTTAACAAATTATCTCCTTTTAGTTCCATTTTCGGATAATGTTTTTTTTTTTTTTTTTTATGTGACAGTTCAAATAGAGCAAATTTGATCTAAGACTCTTCTTAGCAATAGTGTTATGAACAAATATTGAAAGTTTATTAATTTTAAGCAAGTTTGAAGTAAAATCTATTGGCAGATATTTTGAAATATTACATTTGACTTGGTTGTATCTTAGTTTGGGACAGTTTATGGAGGATGATGAAGCAAAATTTGAGATAAACATTTGCTTGTTTTGATATAATTTCTAATATTTTACCATTAGTAACTTGAGAAAAAATGAAAATTTAAAAAAATGTTCCCCCTTTAGTTCCATTTTTGGATATGTATTTTTATTTATTTATTTATTTTTCAAATTTGATCCAAAATTATGAATAAATATTGAAAATTGTTTAATATTGAGCAAATCAAGACAGATATTTTGAAATAGATAAAAATTTTACTATCAAACATTACATTTGGGTGTATCCTAGTTTGGGACAGTTGATGGAGGAGGATGATGATGATGGTGCAAAATTTGTGAAATGAAATGATGATAAGTTTATTTGGATGTTTTCCGTAAATGATAAATTGCATTATCATGTAGTCAATTGCTTTTATGCTTTATTATGCAGTATTCAACAGATAAATAAAGGCAATTATTTTACATTGTTCATCGCAACTAGAATCTCCAAAAAAAAAATTAAAATTAAAATAACAAAAAAATCAATCATTCCGAAAATTTGGGATAAACATTTGCTAGTTTTGGAATAATTTCTAACATTTTACCATTAGTAACTTGAGGAAAAATGAAAATCTTAACAAATTAGACCCAGTTTTGGGTATTCAAATAATGTAAATTTGATCCAAAACTCTTCTTGGCAACAGTGTTACGATATTAAGCAAATTTGACATAGACAGACATTTTGAAATAGATAAAAATTTGACTATATAACATTTGATTTGGGTGTATCGTCGTTTGGGACAGTTTATGGAGGATGATGATGCAGAATTTGGGATAAATATTTGATAGTTTTGGAATAATTTCTAATATTTTACCATTAGTAATTTGAGGAAAAACAAAAATCTTAACAAATTTTCTCCTTTTAGTCCCATTTTCGAATATGTATGTTTAATTTTTTTGCAAATTTGATCCAAAATTATGAAAACATTTTGAAAATTGATCAATTTTAAGCAAATTTGAAGTAAAAAGTATAGGCAGATATTTTGACGTATTACATTTGACTTGGGTGTATCCTTGTTTGGGACAGTCTATTGAGGATGATGATGCAAAATTTGGGATAAACATTTGGAAGTTTTGGAATAATTTCTAATATTTTACCTTTAGTAACTTGAGGAAAAATTAAAATTTTAACAAATTTTCTCCTTTTAGACCCATTTTTGGATATGTATTTTTAAATGTGACAGTTTAAATAGATAGATCAAAAATTGTTTAATATTAAGCAAATTTGAAGTGAAAACTATAAGTAGACATTTTAAAATATAACATTCGATTTGGGTGTATCCTCGTTTGGGACATTTTATGGAGGATGATGATGCAAAATTTGGGATAAACATTCGTAAATTTGGGAATAATTTCTAATATTTTACCATTAGTAACTTGAGGAAAAACAAAAATCTTAACAAATTGTCTCCTTTTAGACCCATTTTCGAATATGTATTTAAAATTTTTGGACAAATTTGATCCAAAATTATGAACAAATATCGAAAATTGTTTAATATTAAGCAAATCTGAAGTGAAAACTATAAGTAGACATTTTAAAATACAACTTTCGATTTGGTTTATGGAGGATGATGATGCAAAATTTGGGATAAACATTTGAAAGTTGAGGAATAATTTTAAATATTTTCTGATTATATAACCTGAAAAAATCCATAATGACATCTCCGTTGCCTCATTTGACGTTGGGGCAGTTGTTCGTCGGGGCAGTTGTGCATTGGGGCAGTTGTGTGGTGCAAAGCTGGTGCAGACATTGGCGCATTTCAGACTGATTTATTATTGAAAAGCAGAATCCATAAATAGCTGTAGAGGAAAGAGAAAAGTCCCGTTTGTGGATGCGGCGCGAGGCTGGAATGGGATTTGGGTGTATCCTGGTTCGGGGCAGTTGGGGCAGTGAAGCGTATCTGGTGCAGGCTGGACTATTGGTGCATTTCGAAATTTCTGGCACAGGGTCTAAACTGGGACTAAATCAGGTCAAAACAGGACTAAACCAGGATGAAAAGAACTAAAATGTAGGACTAAACCAGGACTAAACAGGGATACAATTATAAAGAGCAAATCAGGACTAAATAAGAACTGACTACGGACTAAAACCAAATCTACAGACTAAGGACTAAACCAGGACTAAACCAGGACTAAACTACGACTAAAATAAACCTAAACCAGGAAAGTATTATACCAGGGCAAATCAGGACTAAACCAGAATGAAACCAGGACTAAATCTTGACTAAACCAGGACTAAACAGACCAATGCAAATTAGGACTAAACTAAAGTTAAACTAGGATTTACCCGGGACTAAACCAGGACTAACTCCAGACTAAACGAGAGTAAACCAGGACTAAACTAGGACTAAAACTAAGGCAGAACTAAATCACGACTAACCCAAGACTAAACCAGCACTAAACCAGGTCTAAACCAGGACTAAACCAGGACTAACCCAGGACTAAACCAGAACTAAACCAGAACTGAACCAGGACTGAACTAGGAACTAAACCAGGACTAATCCAGGTCTAAACCAGGAATAAACCAGGACTAAACCAGAACTGAACCAGGACTAACCCAGGACTAAACCAGAACTGAACCAGGTCTAAACCAGGACTAAACCAGCACTAAATCAGGTCTAAACCAGGACTAAAACTAAAGCAGAACCAAACCAGGACTAAACCAGGATTAAACCCAAATTAAACCAGGACTAAACCAGGACTGAACCAGGACCAACTCCAGACTAAACCAGGATTTAACCAGGGCTAAATTAGGACTAAACCAGGACTAAACCGGGACTAAACCAGGACTAACATAAACCTAAACCAGGACTAAAAACATTGCTTGTCTATCAAAACCCGGTGCTGTCCGACTGTCGGGTGCATCCTGGTCTGGGACAGTTGTACAGTGATGGTGCAAAACAGGTGCAGGCCATAAACTTTATACTAAAAGAACCAATTAAAATAAAAACTTTACTCTTTATTATAGAAAATAAAATAAAAAATCATAAACACACTGAAAAGAATTGTCCCGTTTAGAAATATGAGTCCTGCTCTCGGATTCGTCAGTATCTGGGTTTAGGACGGTTCAAGGATGATGGTGCACGTTGACAATGTATAATTAATTATGTATA